GCCTCCAGTGCATCCACTGATTTCCCGGTCCACTGCCACCACCACTGCTCAAAGGACCACACTGCTCACCTGTCCCACCACACCGCTCACCTGTCCCACCGCACCGCTCACCTGTCCCATCGCACCGCTCACCTGTCCCACCGCCACAGCTCACCTGTCCCATCACACTGCTCACTTATCCCACCACCACAGCTCAAAGGACCACACTGCTCACCTGTCCCACCGCACCGCTCACCTGTCCCACCGCACCGCTCACCTGTCCCACCCCACCGCTCACCTGTCCCATCACACCGCTCACCTGTCCCATCACACCGCTCACCTGTCCCACCGCACCGCTCACCTGTCCCACCGCACCGCTCACCTGTCCCACCGCACCGCTCACCTGTCCCACCGCACTGCTCACTTATCCCACCACCACAGCTCAAAGGACCACACTGCTCACCTGTCCCACCGCACCGCTCACCTGTCCCACCGCACCGCTCACCTGTCCCATCACACCGCTCACCTGTCCCATCACACCGCTCACCTGTCCCATCACACCGCTCACCTGTCCCACCGCACCGCTCACCTGTCCCACCGCACCGCTCACCTGTCCCACCCCACCGCTCACCTGTCCCACCGCACCGCTCACCTGTCCCACCACACCGCTCACCTGTCCCATCACACCGCTCACCTGTCCCACCGCACCGCTCACCTGTCCCACCGCACCGCTCACCTGTCCCACCACACCGCTCACCTGTCCCACCGCACCGCTCACCTGTCCCACCGCACCGCTCACCTGTCCCACCCCACCGCTCACCTGTCCCACCGCACCGCTCACCTGTCCCACCGCAACAATCTCCTACCTGGTCTCCAGCACCCACTAGCCCATCTGATTTTAAAAATGTTCAAAACTCTCTCGTGGTTTCCTATAGCCTCAGAATAAAATCAGGTGTACAAGGTTTTCAGAACCTGGCTGTGGTCGGCAACCTCCACAGTGGCTCCAACAGGTTCCCATACAAGAGAGCAATGGAGGAGGATCCTGAACATACCTCCTCCCACAGACACACCAAGTCTACACTACAGACAAAATTTCCTCTGAAAGAAATCAAAATCTAGGCAAGTGACTCCTATACATCAAGAAAGTGCAGAAAAAACCCATATTGAGACAGATGGGGGAGGCTGAGATAGTCTTCCCATAAGGCCAGCCTTGACACCCAACCTTCTCCCCAAGCAGCAAAGGGTTTGAACCCCACACCGGCACCACAACTTTTAGACCCACAACTGAGACAAGCCCCAAAAACATCTTGCTTAGAAAGCCAATGAGGCTTGCAGCCACGAGACCCACAAGGCCATAGCAAACTGAGAAACCGTTCTTAGATCTTCCCAGCCTGGCCGGCTAGCTCAGTTAGAGCGTCGTCCCTATACACCAGGGTTGTGGGTTTGATCCCTGGTTGAGGCACTAAACAAGAATCAATCAATGAATGCATAAATAAGTGGAACAATAAACCGATGCTTCTCTCTCTCTATCTTTCAAGGAAAAAAAAAAGACTTTCGAAGGCTCATCCACCCCGGAGCCCAGTGCAGAGGCAGCGACTGAAAAGGGCCTGAAAGAGGCTTATTTGCTTCGCCTAGAACTCAGCCTAAAGGGCAGGCATCTAATTTAGCACAGGACGAGGGGCCAACACTGACCCTCTCCAGGCACGATCACTGGCTCTCCTCCCTCTGCCGGGCTCCATGTCACTAGTATCACATCTGGTGCCACAGTTTTTGCAGCTGCTGCCCAGGGGACACCCCTTGATCTGGTTCTGGTGGCCAACAAGACCTATGTTCATGGTTCCCAAGGACCAATGGAACAGTCCTTCATCAGTCAACCCCCACCATCCCCCCCAGGAGGGCTCAGCACAGGGAAGCACAAGATGAGCCTTCAAATGAGACTCCGCAGCTGAGCAGCTTGATTTAACCTCAGGAGACCTTCAGCTCCAAGCCCAGCCGCGCCGCGCCCGGACTCCTCCCCAGCAGAGACCCCCTGTTGCAGTCTGTGATTTCTGTACAGTAACAGATAACACACTGCACGTGCTGACTTTTCAGCCTTGATTTCCTTCCGTTCAGTCCCACTCCAGACTTCAGTCCCTTTCAGGTCCTTAACAAGACTCTGTCCTCTTACCTCAAGGCCTAGCTCATGCTCTCTCTCCTGAAACACTGTTGTCCTCACCTTCCCTTCGCCTGGCTAACCCCTAATCCTCTGTAGCTCCCATCTCTCACTGCTCACACCTTCCCCTTCCTCCCTTCACGATGAACTTTGCTGCCCTTTTCCCAATGCCCAACACCCATTACATTTACTCAACGGCCACCATTCCTGCTAACCTGTAAGATAAACGAGGTTTGTCTCATGTTCCCTATACCCTCAGCTTAGAACTGAGCCGTGCTTAAACAGTACAAATTTGTTGAAAATTAAATGTTCCAAAATGGGTGTCTTGTACTATAGATAGAAATAGAAGCCCTCGCTGGTTTGGCTCAGTGGATAGAGTGTCGGCCTGAGGACTGAAGGGTCCCGGGTTCGATTCTGGTCAAGGGCACAAGCCCACCTTGTGGGTTTGATCCCCAGTAGAGGGCGTGCAAGAAACAGCTAATCAATGATTCTCTCTCATCATTGATGTTTCTCTCCACTCTCCCTTCCTCTCTGAAATCAATAAAAAATATATTTAAAAATAGAAATTACTTATAGGAAAGACAAATAAAATGTCTTCTCAGCCCCTCAGAAGTAGCCTCCACTCTCTGCAAACTCCTGGGAAATAAATAGCTCCACTCAACTTACTGGCATTATGCTCAGAGAAAAACTGTTAAAAACTGAAATTATAAAGGCTTGAAAACACATGAATACTGGAAAATTGGTCATCATACAAAGTTCCAACTCCCTAAAAACCCAACAGACCAGGAGGGAAGGAAGAACTTTCATTACTGCCTTTGGCTTAGAGTGGATTTTAACTAGCAGGTCCTGGAATAACGCTGTCGTCACAAGGCTGAGGAGAGGCAGCAGGAACTTAACCTTGCTTCTGTCCGTGAGCTTGCAGGGAACAGGTTTCTTACACAGGTGGGCCTCAGGTCAGCAGGCTTCACCGGTGTTTTGATGTTAACAAACTGAAGGTGAGATCCTCCACCAGCAAAAAGACCAGGCGTTGATTAGGGCGGTGGCCCGGAGCCCGGCGCGCTCTGCCCTGTCCCCCACGTTAAGTTCTGTACTGTCCATCCTGATCCTGTTTTTCCTGCCCTCTGGGTGCTGCTTCTCTAGCTTCCAGCTTTTCAGCACAGTGGCTACAAACAGCTCATGGGCTCTGGAGGTCTACCTGCCTGCAGACCCAACATCTTTCCAGCTGTGAGACGGGGACACATTACTCAACCGCACTTTGGTTTCCTCTTTTAAAAAAATGTTTTTATTGAGTTTTTTAGAGAGAGAGGAAGGGAGAGGGATGGAGAGATAGAAACATCAATGAGAAACATCATCATGGACCGCCTCCTGCACGCCCCCTTCTGGGGATGGAGCCCGCAACCCGGGCAGGTGCCCTGACCGTGACCTCCTGGTCCATAGGTCGAGGCTCAACCACTGAGCCCGCTGGCTGGACTCAGTTTCCTCTTTTCTTAAAAAATGGTTGGGTAATAGTTCTTACTTGCTCCGTAGGATGGGGACGAAGATTAGAGGAAACCGTGAACACTATGCATGCTTCACTCAAGGTCAGCTGTCAGTCCCCTAGGATTCTAACGTCAACGCGCTGCCTCCATCACCTGCGGCTGGGCAGTGCCACGCTCAGCGCCATCCGCCCCGCCGCCCGGCTCGCGCACCGGCCCACCGGCTGCAGCCCGTGGAGGCCGGGGTCCAGCCTTGTCCTCACACCACCCGCCCCGGTGGTGACCGCAGCAGCTGGTAAACCTGGAGGGCACGGGGCTAAGCGACATCCACAGAGGGGATCTGGGAGCGTAAGACAATAGCACTCCTAGTTCCAATGCCATGTGTCTCCTTCACCGGGGCTGCCCCCACCCCCAGGCCGCCTCCAGAAATAAACCGAGAAACGCCAGAAACGGCCTCTCCAACATCCGCCCACACCGTCCTCAGCCTCAGGCCGGTAAAACGCGCCGCTGCAGCCACTGGGACGCGGGCGGAGAGCGGCTTGCAGAGCGGGGCCCTGCAGGCCGGGCGGCGCCTACCTCGGAGCCGCGGACTCGCCCCGGCCCGCCCGCGCCGCGCCCGCCGGCTGCGCCCGTCGGAGGCCGCGGTCCCGGGGCTGCGCCCCGTCTCGCGGACAGAAAGCGGCAGAGGCGCGCGGCCAGCGCCATGACCTCCTCGGGACCTGACCCTCCGCCCACTTCCGGCCGGCTCTGCTTCCGGCGCACAAATTCCCGGCCACGGGTCTGGGTTCCCGGGCTTGTGGGCGGGGCGTGCCCGAGTGGGTGGGACTTAACGCCTTCCGCGCCTGCGCGGTGGCCCTGGGGCCATGAGAATCCCTCCGGCCTCTGACTGGGCTGTGCCCTTGGTCCATGGATCTGTCGGAGGTTTGACACGGAACGGGGTCATCCAAGCAGAACAGGAAGGTCGGAAGACGAGAGACAGGGCTTGTCATTCTCAGCTCTGCTGCCCCCAACGGAGGCCCACGGTGCGGGGGTCCTGGGCAGGCAGGTGCCGAGGAAATGAAAAAGAGCCAGGCCCGCAAGCGGCTCCCTGGAGCTGGGGTGCTGGGTGACTCCTTCCCTGCAGACCCTTCACCGCAGAACCTCTGATCCTGAGCCTAGTTCAGAGCCCAAGCCTGCAAATGCAGGGCCTGTTACCTGGGGCACAGGGAAACTTTATGGGCGAGGAGGCAAGACGAGGCTTTAGAAATTAAGTTGCATTTATATAGTCCTTTTACTGCTACTCTGATCAAAGTGAATGAACTCCTACTCTTATTTCACTTCATTCAACCCCCACCTGTCGTGGAAAGACTGGATCCATGGAAAAACCAAGATGGTGGCAGAGGTAAACACAGGAAATTGCTGCCTCTCACAACCACTTCAAAAATACAACTAAAAGACAAAACGGACATCATCCAGAACCACAGGAAGGCTGGCTGAGTGGAAATTCTACAACTAGAAGGAAAGAGAAAAGCACACTGAGACTCAGAGGAGGTGCTGTGCGGAAGTAAAGTGCAGAGGTACGGAGGCTCGAGGAAAGGGCTGGCAAATGAGGACACGGTTGTCTTTTTCAATCAGGAGGGAGTCTCAAGCTCCCGAGACTGCTCTGAACTCCAGTTCCGGGCCAGTCTCTGGGGACCCAGACTCATACTAGGAGAAACTGAACTGTCTGGCATTGGTCGGAACTCGAGGGCCACTTTCTCTCAGAGGTGCTTGCAGCGATTACCGGGACACTGAGACGCAGGGCCTCTTAGGGTAGGACTGAGGAGCAGCCATAGCTGCTTGCTCCGCCCTGTTGATCCCCTGAGACCCCACCCAAGCTGTGCACAGAAGCTTTTGCATATGAAAGGCCTGGCCCTTTGCAATCTGAAAATTCCCTAACGAACTGCAGCTGGGTCAGAGAGACCCAGAACTTCCAAAAGAAGGCCCAAGGCCCCACACCAGCTTGCATTGCTTCATAGCTGGGCCTCATCTGGGCATCTCCAAACCCCAAACAAAGAAGAGGATTCTGCAGATCTCTCCATAGCTCCTGCTGGGTAGCCTCAGGCAGAGGCTAAATTAACACCTCCTTAGAGATCCAAGAGCCAGTATACCCAGTGGTCAGAGTGGGACCATGCAGATTACAACTCCTCAGATCCATAAGGGACACACTCAGGGGGCAGACTCAGTGAGCAACAAGGCCCCACTGAAGCAAGTATTGCCCCAGAAGGGTGTCTCCAGCACAGAAGTTCTCCCACTGCAGACACAGCTGATTCTCACAGCCAATTGGCCTGGAGGTCAATTCCTCCCAGTGATACCTACAACAATCAAGGCTTAACTACAACAAGACTGTGCACAAAGCCCACAAAGGGGTGCACCAAGAGTGTCCACCTCAGGTAATTGGGGAGGCTGAGTCACTGGGCCCTATAGGACACCTAGCACAGAAAGCCACTCTATCAACACAGGGAAGCATAAAAAATGAGGAGTCAAAGAAACAGGTCACAAATGGCAAAAATGGAGGAAAGCAAACTACTGGATATAGAGTTCAAAACCACACTTTTAAGGTTTTTCAAGAATTTTCTAGAAACCGCCGATAAATTGAGTGAGACCCTCAAGAAATCTAGTGAGACCCTCGAGGTTATGAAAAAGGACCAATTAGAAATTAAGCATACACTGACTGAAATAAAGAATATTATACAGAGTTCCAACAGCAGACTAGAGGATCCCAAGAATCAAGTCAACGATTTGAAATACGAAGAAGCAAAAAACACCCAACTAGAAAAGCAAAAAGAAAAAAGAATCCAAACATATCAAGATAGTGTAAGGAGCCTCTGGGACAACTTCAAACATACCAACATCCGAATTATGGGGGTTCCAGAAGAAGAGAGAGAGCAAGATATTGAAAACCTATTTGGAGAAATAATGACAGAAAACTTCCCCTACCTGGTGAAAGAAATAGACTTCCAAGTCCAGGAAGCGCAGAGAACCCCAAACAAAAGGAATCCAAAGAGGACCACACCAAGACACATCATAATTAAAATGCCAAGAGCAAAAGACAAAGAGAGAATCTTAAAAGCAGCAAGAGAAAAACAGTCAGTTACCTACAAGGGAGTACCCATGCGACTGTCAGCTGATTTCACAACAGAAACTATGCAGGCCAGAAGGGGGTGGCAAGAAATATTCAAAGTGATGAATACCAAGAACCTATAATCAAGACTACTTTACCCAGCAAAGCTATCATTCAGAATTGAAGGTCAGATAAAGAGCTTCACAGATAAGAAAAAGCTAAAGGAATTCATCACCACCAAACCAGTATTATATGAAACTAGAGGCCCGGTGCACAAAAATTTGTGCACTGCGGGGGGGGGGGGGTCCCCCAGCCCGGCCTGTGCCCTCTCGCAGTCTGGGACCCCCTCGGGAGATAACGACCTGCTGGCTTAGGCCTGCTTCCGGGTGGCAGAGGGCAGGCCCAATTCCTAAGTGCAGCCCCTGGTCAGGCTCAGAGCAGGGCCGATTGGGGAGTTGGGGCGCCGCCCCGTCATGCACAGAGCAGGGAGGATTGGGAGGTTGCCATGCCACCCTCAGTCACGCTCAGGGTAGGGCTGATTGGGGGGTTAGGGCACCGCCCCCTGTCACACTCAAGGCAGGGTCGATGGGGAGGTTGCGGCGCCACCCCCTGTCACGCACAGAGCAGGGCCGATCAGGGGGTTGGGGCGCTGCCCCCTGTCATGCACAGAGCAGGGCTGATCAGGGGGTTGGGGGCGCTGCCCCCTGTCACGCACAGAGCAGGGCCGATCGGGGTTGAGGAGCTCCCCGCTGTCACTCACAGAGTAGGGCCGATAGGGGAGTTGGGGCACCGCCCCCTGTCACACAGAGCAGGGCGGATCAGGGGGTTGGGGTGCTGCACCCTGTCACACTCAGGGCAGGGCCAATGGGGAGGTTATGGCTCTACCCTGTCACACACAGAGCAGGGCCGATCAGGGGGTTGGGGCGCCGCCACTGTCACACTCGGGGCAGGGCCGATGGAGAGGTTATGGCTCTACCCTGTCACACACAGAGCAGGGCCCGTGGGGGGGGAGGGGGTTAGGGCGCCGCACCCTGTCACACACACAGCAGGGCCGATCAGGGGGTTGGTGCGCTGCACCCTGTCAAACAGAGCCACAGGGCAATCAGGGGATTGGGGAGCTCCCCCCTATCAGTCACAGAGCAGGGCTGATCAGGGGGTTGGGGCGCCTTCCCCTGTCACGAACAGAGCAGGGCGGATAGGGAGGTTGTGGCCCCGCCCCCTGTCACACACAGAGCCGCAGGGCGGTCAGGGGGTTTGGGCGCTGCCCCCTGTCACGCTGATCCCGGTGCCGGGAGGCATATTACCCTTTTACTATATAGGATTGAGGCCTGGTGCATGGGTGGGGGCTGGCTGGTTTGCCCTGAAGGGTGTCCTAGATCAGGGTGGGGGTCCCCACTGGCGTGCCTGGCCAGTCTGGGTGAGGGGCTGAGGGCTGTTTTCCAGAAGCGAGTGACTGAAGCTTCCAACTGCTCCTTGTTTTCTTTTTTTTTTTTTTTATTCTGGGCCAGCTTTAGCTCTGAGGCCTCGCTGCTGAAAACATCGATACAATGTTGCTAAAGCCCGGCTGAATGAAAGCCGGTTTCTGGAGTTTTGTTTAGCTTCTTATTTGCAACATAGTACATAGTTGCTTAGAGTTGCAGCTGAGAGGCCGGCAAGTGAGGCGGGGAACGTTGGAGTCCGCAGTCACTGGAGCAAGTAGGCCTCCCTGCTCACTTCAGTGCATGGCTGCCGGCCGCCATCTTGGCTGACAGTTAATTTGCATATACTCACTGATTAGCCAATGAAAAGGGTAGCGGTCGTACGCTAATTACCATGTTTCTCTTTTATTAGTGTAGATGCTGAAAGGTATCCTTTAAGAAGATGTAATAGAATCAGGGGCATAGAAAGGGAGTGGACTGGAAGAGAAACCAAGATGGCGGCATAGGTAAACACTGGAGATTGCTGCCTCACACAACCACTTCAAAAATACAACTAAAATGCCGAAACCGGTTTGGCTCGGTGGATAGAGCGTCGGCCTGCGGACTGAAGGGTCCCGGGTTCGATTCCGGTCAGGGGCATGTGCCTGGGTTGCGGGCACATCCCCAGTGGGAGGTGTGCAGGAGGCAGCTGATCGATGTTTCTCTCTCATCGATGTTTCTGGCTCTCTATCTCTCTCCCTTCCTCTCTGTAAAAAATCAATAAAATATATTTTAAAAAAAATACAACTAAAAGACATAACGGACACCATCCAGAACCACAGGAAGGCTGGCTGAGTGGAGTTTCTACAACTAGAAGGAAAGAGAGGGGCATACCGAGACTCAGAGGAGGTGTGGTACTGAAGTCAATACAAAGGTGCGGAGGTGCATGCGGAGAGGGCTGAGGACACGATTGTCTTTTTCAATCGGGATGGAGTCTCAGACTCTGAGCTCCAGTTCCGGGAGAGTCTTTGGGGACCCAGACTCATACGGGAGAAACGGGACTGTCAGGCATCGGTCGGAACTCGAAGGCAGCTTTCTCTCGGAGGCACTCACGGCGATTGCCAGGACCTCTGAAGGCAGGACTGAGAGCAGCCATACTGCTCGCTCGCTCGGCCCACCTTGTTGATCCCCTGGGACCCCGCCCCGCCCAAGCTGTGCACAGAGGCTTTTGCATGTGAAAGGCCCGGCCCTTTGTAAT